AGCTCGGAATAACTTGTATGCAGATTTCATATCAAGGATGAGCAAAGGACTAAGTCCTCCAATTTAGGCATAAAAATAGGAGAACTGAGCAATCTCATGCACATAGGCATTTACTATTAACTGAATTCCACATGTATTTGGAGATTTCTATTTTGCAGGACTTAAACACGAATACAATGAAAATACACCAAAAAGGCGCATTCTGACAAGGCGTAATGCTGAGTTGCGTAAAGGAATAATGAAAAGGCCCACCTATTCAAATAATCCGGGCACGAAACCACCCAAGGAGCAGCCCAGGCCTAACTAGGAATCCACCATGTAAAGGCGGTGGCGAGGCAGGCTGACAAGGGTGCGGTCGCACCGCCACCGGCTCCTCTCTACCACACCTTCGAATGGTGGTGCTCTGGTGACATGTAGAGGCGGTGGCATGCGAGGTTCTAGGAAATATCCCCCTCAAACTGACCTAAGGAGGCTATATCAGCAAGGGAGGAGTCCCTTCATTGAGCATTCACTCATACACAAGAGAATAAGAAGCGGATCTTCACTCATATCTTTAGCTTCTAACTAAGAGTAGTATATGGAGTGAGAGAGGGAAGAGTTTGGAGAAGTACCGAAGTTGTCGGCTACCTCCACTAGTGTGTTTATACACTTAGCGGAAGGAATCGCTGGAGCTATCGGCTTCGTCTACACTTGTACCTCTATGTTCGTGTTACTAATTGGAGTAAGAAGTTTATGTTTATCTTTCGGTGTTAATTTCTTAAGTAAAGTTATCATTTTTCATTAATTACTTGCGGGTTCGTCATTCGTCCTTGTGGCAGATACTCTAGTAGAGGACTCCTAATAAAGACGGAAGTTCCTGGCCAATGCTAGAGTAGTAACCAATAGCGTAGGCGTGGTGTTTAGGCTAGAAGTTACCTTTGTTTGCCTCGTTCTCCACGGTTGAGGGGTAGTCGGTAGGTGGTGATAGCCCTGTCTGTCCTTTGTAATCCCTCACGTTCGGGTTCGACGTAGAGCTACAGGCCAGAGGTACTTGGTAGACCAAATATAAAGCGGATGCCCGAAGCAAGTCTTTATTGACAAAGTTATCTTCACTTAGGATCTTTAGCCTTAGGAAAACCTCACTATCCCAGTTATCTTCTTCTTTTCGTTAGGTGAACTAGTTAAAGAGACTATCACACCTCCGTTCCTTGAGAAAATACGATACCCTTAATATCACCGGGTGAAGTGCTATAACGGTATATCCGTGCGCTTGCGATTCCCTCTGCTTACGCTAAGAAATACCAACTGCATGCTAAGATGATCTTGTGGTTGATAGCTATGAACTACTATCACACCGCGCTAGGAAAACCAAAAAAATTTACTCCTGAGGAGGAGCAAAAGTTCGAGGTTGTCGATAACCTATTTCGAGGCACCATGGTTAGCGCTCTTGCTGACAAATACGTGGACTCTTATAAAACATGCACAACTAGCAAAGAATTATGGGATGCACTTGAGGGAAAGTTCGGTGTTTCTGGTGCTGGTAGCGAGTTGTACGTCATGGAGCATCTGTATGACTATAGGATGGTTGAGAACCATTCAGTAGTGGAACAGGCTCATGAAATACAGGCACTGGCTAAGAAACTCGAGCAATTTCCATGTGTGTTGCCCGACAAGTTTGTGACCGGCGGTATTATCGCTAAGTTGCCACCTTCTTGGAGGAATTTCGCTACCTCTCTAAAACACAAGAGACAAGAGTTTAGCGTGACTGAGCTTATTGGTTCTCTTGATGTTGAGGAAAAAGGGCGAGAACAAAAGACACACATGGAAAGGGAGTTGAGTCTTCTAGTACCAATATGGTGTAGAAGAAAAACTCTAATGCATCTCGTAATAAAAGAAGAAGAACAAGCAAAAGAATAACTTGAAGGCTAAGCAAACAACCACTTTTAAAAAGAAAAAGAACAAAGAAAGTGATTGCTTTGTTTGCATGAATGATGAACATTGGACAAGTGCGTGCCCAGACCTTGAGCATTTTGTTCCAACCGCTCCTTGTCCACTAAGATGAATGCCGATCAGAGAGCAAGCATGCATTGAGCTAATAAGAGCTCTTATTTGTTCCATCTGCTCCTTAGTTTGGATGACTTGGTGCTCCCCTTCATCAGTTAGTGAGCTCAATGCACGAGTGCGTCAGTAGTGAGTCAAATGCATGCATTCAGTACATGCAGTGGCTGTCGTTGTTTTGCTCAGTATTGAGCCAAATGCATGCATTTAGTACATGCAGTGGTTGTCATTGTTTTGCTCTTTGCTCTGACTCTTAGAGATCATGGTGAGCCAAGCTTTCGGTCATAGGATTTCGATCATAGGATGGCACGGTCAAGTAGGAAAGAATGGCGCTGTGATGTGTGGCCTTGAGCCATTGTAATCATGTATATATCTGAATCAAATAGTCTGAAAAGCTACGGCATTTGTAGCACCAAACTCATTGTGTAGTAGTGTTCGCGTTAAGTTGTGTGTGTGTGTGTTCGGTGATCCAAGGATCGTCTTCTTCATCTTTGGCAAGCGTCGCTAGTGCTTGTTGTCTCTCGCTCGCCATCGCCCACCGCCGGAGACGAGGAAGATGGCCGGAATAGGTGAACGCACACACACGAAACACAGTGGAGACACAATGACCTTTGGTGTTGTAACTCACACAGCTTTTCTGATTCCATTGGCTGCGATATATACAATGCAGATTACAAGGCCAAAGCCACCACAGCCACTCACTTCGCGCTCCACACAAATCCCTACCTGTCCGCGCCATCCCACGGACGAATTCATCAGAGCGCGGTGATCACTACTGAAACTAAACAAAAGGATCACCACTGCATGAACGTGCATGCATCTGGCTGCTATGTACGTGCCTTGATCAGGCTCTCTTATTGACTAATACAACAGCTAAAAATAGGAGTAATGACCGAGCCTGAGTTATCCAACAAGCGTCGCCATTCACATCGAAGTCGATCTTCCATCCACCGCCATTTCCTAAACCTCAGGGTTGCAACGTTGTGCCTCCGCTACAGTAACCTGACATTGGCCCGGACCAATTCGCCGCTACAGTGACTGTAGATACAGTAGGCGCGGCGCGGAGGGCTTCTTCTTCTTTGAGTTTGGCGAACCTGGCGCCCACAACCGCCTAGGATGTGAGGACGACGGTCTTTGACAGCGTCAATTGAGAGGGGAGATTTGCCCGGGGATGTTCAGGTCAAAGTTCTTGGAGGCACGAGAGGACCGTGCGCGCGAGTAGCAGGGTGTCTTGGACGGTGTATTGCCTACTGCCATGTCTAGGGGCTTTGTTGGAGTCCTAGCAGACACGGACACACGGTATGGCCCAAGGACTCGGTCTAGTCTTTGCAGCCACCGTTGTTACCATGCCTAGGGCATGGAGCTTAGCACGCGGCAAGGATCCAATCATGCTAGCGTTATTAGTTACGGGAAGGTCGTTGTCCTATTCATCACGCTGTCACCACTTAATGACAATGTCGATCACCACCGAGGAGTCTTCATGGTTGTGTTATGCATTGCAAACTTCAGTTTACCCTAATGGCATCGACCTCCGACAATCAAGCTAATTCCTGAGATCCAATTCTTCTCTTGTGTGACTACTACCTCCATTCTCTTTTACATAAGACGCAAATGCATATTAAGATTCAAACTTTAAAATATTTGACTAATAATTTTTAATTATTATAACACAAACTTGATATGATTACATTATAATTAAATTTACTACCAAATTATCATAAAATTATAAGTATAAATAATATTAAATAAATAAATAGATGGTTAAAATATAATTTAGAAGACCATGTCATGTCATGCTATGCTTGCTTTATAAAAGAGAATGGAGGGAGTATTTTAATTTAATGTATGAGCTTGTCATTCCAAGCTGTAAGTCTAAGAGCAACTCCAACAGGTTACTATTCTTGTTGTGTATACTATTTTAGAATTTGTATTACAAAAAGTAGCTCCAACAGATGTGATATCTGACTTTGTAAGAGCAACACCAAGAAAGTTTGTAAAATTAGATGGTTAAATCAATGATTTAGCTATTTTCTAAAATAGAAAACTCCTTCCAAAAGTAGATAACTCCAAGAGCCTTTCTAAAATAGATAACTCCATGCTGACCCGTTGGAATCAATCAATGTTTAAAATCTCCGGAGGATATGGAGTTTAGCGGTACCGGCTAATCTCTCGCTATATCACCGCTACGAGCCAGCAGACGGAGCCCACCTGGCCTGGCCACCTCTTCAAGCCTCCTCATCCACACGTTTTATCCAAACTTCAGGCTACATCTACGGCGCACGGAGACGGAGCAGTAGCTAACGGTCTTCTTTACTAGCATGCACAAAACACAGATAAGACTTCCGTCTAGTCTATCTATCTAGACTAGTAATTTACATGCAAGTTTTGCGACGAGTTAGCTAGGACTAATGGCAGCAGGCTTCGAATGAACAAGTCCACAACGGATGAACAATGCAAGTCACAAACTTCAGTATACATCAGCTGTCAGGGGCTCTGCGGCGGTGCCGACATGCACACGGGACAAACATACTAGCGGGAAAGGCTCCACGCGCGTGCAGGGGAAGCGGATGGCGAGCTGCGATGGCATGCTATTCAACGAGCGAGGATCCTGGATAGCATACTGGTTATTCTAAAACACCGGATACAAGGGTTGTTGGAGGACTATTTTTGCTGAAAATACCCAAATATAAACTATATAGCACATATAGCTTCTCTCTTGAGATGCTATAAATAGAAAGCCAGCTATCCCTTGATTTTCGTGGCCATAGAAAGTCAACCACGAGCACGTGGTATTTGACTTTGTAAAATAGCCAGATTGTTGTGAACTTTTTTAAGAGTTTTCTATTTTACAAATGGCTAAACAATGAAATTTGACTATTAATTTTAGCTAACATGTTGGAGTTGTTCTAACAGTGATAGCTAAGGTCAAAAAAAAATAGAAAGCCGATCGAACTCAGTATTATTCAAAGAGCAGATTTTATCAACTGACCACCTGTCAAATCGTCTAAAAATAGAATTTCGTGTACCAGTAAAGCAAAGACCATATATGAGCTGTATCAAAAACCAGAATGAGATTGACGCACCTCTTTGTGTTTCGTTTTTGCTGCCATTATGAGTTGTGACCGAGTGAGTACTGCAACGCTTCTCTAGATGAAACTGCAATGCTGCAAAGAGAACCAAATGGCAATACTTTATAATCATCTAGGGCTTCTGTTAAACTAGAAGTTCGGTTTGACTGGAATGTCAAATAAAATTTCAGATACGATGTTTATGGAAGGAGAAAGTTCTTTCAATATAGAAGACAGACGAGAGGTGTGATGAAACCTGGCATGGCACTAAAGTAATTCTTAGATTCACAGAAGGCTAACTGACTATACAGCATTAGGCATTAGCATTTGGTTTTCTTATGGATGGTACGATTGGGTTTGCGAAAGACGTGCCATTTTCACTCAAAAATCTCACTTACTGATGATCATCCCCCGAAGAAAACAGTGAAGATGACGTTGAGCAGGCAATTGAACGTGCCAAACCGGAACCATTGCAATACCCTGAAAGCAATAACATATCACAATCAGCTTCATGATTGGTAACAGAGCATCTTGATCTTGAGAGTAACAAGGAAGGGCAACTTTGGCAAGTGAAGCGTATAGTTGCATACCGTGATGGAAATCCTACACACATCCGTTGCCGCAGGATGTCCTGCATGCACAAAAGCAGTAGGTAGAAACGTGTCAGAGAGAAGGATCACGGCGTGGCTGCATTGCTTCGATGGAGCGGGGCCTTGTGGATCTGGATCTGGATCTGGATCTGGAACCACACCGCAGCGTTAGGTATTGTCCCGTCTCGGCACGAGCACCATCTCGCCAGCTGATTGACGTACGGCGCTCATCGTCTCCAGTTCTCCTCCACCTGCTGCGAGACAACGATCGAGGTCGAAGACAGAAAACCCGATCGATCAAACGCGGTATCAGTCAGGAATCAGATAGCAGATGACGAATCGTCTCCGGATAGGAATGTTGGGTACGGCGTGAAAACGCACCTGTGTTACCGGCTCGCCAGTAGCCGCCGCCGATCGAGGTCGCCATGGCGGACGCCCAGAGCACGAGACGTTTTTGGATGTATACACTCTCCATTGGTGCCGTTCGAGCTGGGGGCGGCTGAGGCAGTATATAATATGGCGTGTGGCCGAGTGGACAGAGAGACAGAGAGTGGAGGACTAGATCGACTCGACTCCGTCTCAGTACCACCGTGGTAGGCGCGGAGCGGAACGGCGAGAGTGACGGTGGGCAGGAGGAGGAGATCGCGCGCGCCCGCGTCGCACGGCTTCCGGGTAATTATGTTTTGACTAACGCCTTTGCGAGGACTCGTCTCGTCTGCAAGGCGTTCCTGGGCCTTTTGGGCCAAATGGGGGCACGGCTGGAAATCACCCTAAAAAAAACTTTTAGTGCTTTTTTAAGCAAACTTTTTTTTCATGCTTTTTTTTTGGCTAAAAAACCAAATTTTGGCTTGAAAAACCGCAGTAACACAAAAATTTTAAGACGTTTGATCACCTCAAGTTTGACCACTCGTCTTGACAATTCTTGAAGAATTTTTATTAATAAACCAAACCAACAGTATAACGCCGTTTTGATATTGTCCAAAAAAGAAACGGTAAACTCTGCAGAACCACGCTCTGCAGAACCACGCATAGTACGTTACACGCTCGCATCGTCCTAAGCTCGTGCCGCGACACTTCTGGGGCACAGTTCATGGTTCCACACGTGATGACATGAATATATGATAATCCGGGACTACAAGAGGCTGAGGAAGACTTTGCCTACATCCTATTCAGGTTCAGTAACAGCATATATGGATATACATTTCTACAGAGCATCCATCGATGTCCATTGAGACCGGGAGCAACAACTAAGATACTGGTACAGGCAGAACACACCGCAGCTGAACGCCCTGCACTCTAGGGCTCAGGCGACAGTAAACTGGTAAGGTCCTGCGGTTCTCCGGGAGTGTGGATTCTCAACTCGAGGTTCAGGCCTGGAAGGAGAACACACATCGTCAGATTTATTAGCACCGAGGTAAAACTTACTCGTGAAGTAACTACGGTAAATAATCACGCGGAGACAAAATGTTGTAGTATCCAACTTGACTTTCGTGCTGACGCCAACTTGATTGACGCAAGCATGTTCAGTGGCAGAGAGGAGACAATAGTGCAACAAGTATATGGCACAGGGCGAAATGGCCAAATATGAAACAGACGGCCAAACATATCCCTTTCCAAACAGTTATGATCACAAAGTAACTTCATTTCATCACTCGTCATCCTAACATATTCTCCCAAACAGTTCATCCAAAGCATCAGAATATTCAAAGGCCATACAAAGAAACAAAGATGGGAAAATTATCCTCAAGACAAATTAACAAAACACAACACTGCAAGATTAGCATATTAACAGACATTTTGGTGAGATGCAACAGAATTTGCAACACGGCAGACAATAATAGGGCTAAACCCCATCCCCAGTCCTCAAAGAGCAACTCACAAGACTACGCCGAATATCTGTTGTTCCAAGATCCCACGAAAGGGAAATGGGACCAGATATGTGTGCCAAATTGCCAATACTACTCAGCCGGCATTTTTTATGAATACAACAACAGTGATTTGGACTCTGGAGCAGGATGCATAGTGGACTAGGAAAGTCGAGTAGGAGTTGCTGTTAGGGCACAGTACTACAGTAGATGATATAAAGTCTTAGACCAAGTCTGTTTGAATTTGCTATTCGCGTCAGGGTAGGACTCTGTACTTCAATATACACATGCCCTAGGATCTGATGCTTTGTGCAAGGGTATCACCTAAGTGGCTAAGGTTATTAGCCTAAACCAATTACTAATCTAAGGAGTCAAACTAGGAGAACAAAACAATTCCTAGATCCATCGAGCATTAGATCCATCGAGGATATACATACGCCACCAAAATAAAGAACCTTGAGTACTAGAAGAAGAAAAGCACCTAGACCTAACAAAATTAAGCTAATACCCAAAATTGTAGTCATTCTACTTCTATCTTTCCATACATAGCCAAAGAATGGAAAATATTTTTCAAGAGTCCCACCTCCTAGAACTCTAGAAGTTAGTGAGTTATGTATGGAAGATAGAAACAAAATTACTAATGTTTTTGGGTATTCACTTAATTTTGTTAGGTCTAGGTGCTTTTCATCTAGTATTCAGCTCAAGGATTTCCTATTTTTGGCAGATCAATAGCTCAAGGAATACTAAAGTGCACTAAATAGTAGTCAGTGCCTTTATTGCTGCAAATAAAAATCCAAATAGAACAAGGAATTACTCTAGATCACAGTTCGTAACAAGAAAAATTAAAATTAAAATTAAAATGTGATGAATTCTGTTGTCTTATGGTTTGATTACTTGGATATTCGGATATTCCAAAATAAATATTACCCATATACAGGAAAAGAAAGTTATCCTCCTAAGGCATCATGTGGCATATTAAATTTTTGTTATGTAACAATAAAACATACAACGTGATAAGCAAACCAACTGTTTCCACGAGTATGAAACATCAAGTATTAAACAAAATCTTTAAAATGCTATGTGCTACTGACTGTCAGCTTCACTAAAGCACAAGATACAAAAGGTGTTCCTTTTCTCTCAGAATCGTTTTCAGCCCAAATGAATTGGATTTCCAAACTAAAAGCCCGGTACCCATGTTTGCAGACAAGAAATGAAGGAAATTTTTACAACACATAACACATTCCTACCGTCAATGAAAGATACAATAATGGGCACAAAAAAATCCAACAGTGAAAATGGCAAAAGAAACCTATCAAGGTCACATTTGCAGAGCCGGACATTTTCAACACTTTGCAACTCAAAGGATTTAGGAGTGTTTTCTTCATCTAGTACTATAGAACAATGCATGAGTGAGATCATTCAAAGCTATGTTGTCTCAATGTAAAATGAACAGATTGGGACAGACCTAGTCACTGAGATATAATATTCTTTCCACTGAAAAATAAGAAAATATCTAAAATTATATAATTGAAACAGACACCAAAATCATCCAATATTGTTGCGTTAGATGCCAAAGCCCAAGTGAAACTACATATTTTCAGTACCTAATGCCCTCCAAGAACCAAACCAGCCACTACAGCCTATAGGTCCCTCCCCCTCCTCTGGTTTCAGCCCCAACAGATGGTATCCACTCTTTCTCCGCTACTATCTAACGGTTACTTTAGATGCCAAAAGCCCAAGTGAAACTACATATTTTCGGTACCTAATGTCCTGCAAGAGCCAAGCCAACCACTACAGCCTATAGGTCCCTCCCCTCCTCTAGTTTCAGCCCCAAGTCCCCAACAGATGGTATCCACTCTTTCTCCGCTACTATCTAACGGTTACTTTAGATGCCAAAAGCCCAAGTGAAACTACATATTTTCGGTACCTAATGTCCTGCAAGAGCCAAGCCAACCAGTACAGCCTATAGGTCCCTCCCTCTCTTTTGGTTTCAGCACCAACAGAAGGTATCCACTCTTTATCCGCTACTATCTAACTTGGAACATGATCAGAGAAGTTCAACGAATGGAACCTACTAGTGGATGTTAAGCCTATGGCCCATAGCTTACCTTATCTCCAAAATATAGCCACTGCCAAGTAGCTCTAGGTGAGAAGATCGCAATTTAAAGTAAAATTTGAAATTCCTATATGGGAGGTCACGCCATGAATTCATGACACGTGCCATTTGGCAGTACAGTTAATAAGGACAACTGGTGGCTGGCTCCTGTTGGCTCAATTGTGCAGCACCCATGAAAATACTGATGCATCCACCATATCTGCGCCAAATTAAGTTGCATTGTTTCCAATGTCTGAACTTAACAGTTGAGTTGCAAACAATGGAAAAGAATGTCAACACTTATTATATACCCAAATATATCTATAATCTAATTTCAACTCCCCCCTGAATAGTCAGGAGAGATCTTCACAACATTCCATAAATAGCAAATGATAAGTTCTGTCCCATTTAAACTCTCAGGCAGGCCCTCTGGAACCACATAACCAAGCCAAAAAAAAACGCCACACAAAAAAAAATTATGCATCATTGGACTCGTGAGCATGGCGTACACTAAGATCCATCTATCACAGCAAGTCAACAACTGTAGGTAAAGCTAAAAGAGTACTCAAGCTAAAACTAGACCTCCAATTTCAAGTGCTCAGGATGTGAAGGGCAAATTGGATCTGCAAGTCTCAGTGTGAAATCCAAGCACCAAGAACTTACAGATCAAACTCCTAAGCGCAAATATCTATGTATCAGAGCCGCAGAACAATTAAACATGAAAGAACCTGACTGGCAGAGATCAAAATTCAGCCAGCTAATAGTTCTATCTTACGATGTCACATCAATCAAGCAAACAAAAGTGGGACTAATTTCAGTCCATCGCCCAACTGATTCGATACTAAACAACTTATACATAATAAGAGACGTAAAAATACCTGCGCAACGGGGAGCAGCCCAAGCTCTCCGATCACCCCAGCCGCTCCGCGCAGCTGCGCGCCAACGCTGGAACCGCAGGTGGGCACCTCGTCGAACATCGAGGCCGACAGCGACTCCGAGATGAAGCCGGCCTGGAACTCGATGGTGCCCTGGTCGGGGTGCGCGACCATCCCCGTGACGTAGACCCAGAGGAAGAGCTTCTTGGCCTGGACGCCGGAGAGGTCCGAGATGGCGCCCCTGGAGAGCTTGCCCGTTATGGTCCTCTCGTAGTAGACGAGGTGGGAGCCGAAGTGGACGTAGCAGGTGCTGGCGAGGTGGATCTCGAAGGCGCCCGTGGCCTCGTCAAAGCTGTAGGAGGCCACGGAGTCCGGGATGAGCCCCTTCGGCAGGTCGTACTTGGGGAGCAGATCGTTCGCCGCGCCGTTGAGCGATGCGACGGACGCCGTGACCGCCGCCGTGGCGGCGGCGGCGAAGCAGAGGAGGATGAGGCGGGGCAGCGGAGACATGGCCGTTGCGGGTTTGGGAATTTTTTGTGTTTTCCTTGTTCTCGCTTGTGTCTTGCGTTTTGGGATGTGGAAGGACTGACTTTGGCTTTAAAGTGCTTCTTGACTTGTGGATTTTAGGGAATTTTTTTTTATCTTTAGAGACAAGCTATTTGGATTTTGGGCCAGTACAGTTTGTTTATATTAAAGGAAGTAGTTAGGATTAGATACGACGATGACGATCTCTCAAAATATGTTCACACACCACATCATGATTATATCAAGCAAAATCATAAGGTCGTTGTACACTTGTACTGCCATGTTATCATTATTTTCCCTCTTGTACTTCTAGATTTGTAGGAGTTGTATATAACAGATAATCAAAAAATGTGGAGACATGTTACGATTTTCCATGGGACGTTAAAACTCTGTTGATCTGGCTGACCAAGATTTAGCGACATTCCTTGTTCGCCCCCAAAAGAAATTCATGTCTTGTTCGCAGTTGCATTAACACTGGTTTGAGGTTCCCTGTGAATGAAAGAAAAAACGAGTCCATGGATGGGAACTGATCGACGTCGACCAGCTTTACAATGTTCGGCACGAGGTCGCCTTCTAGAAGTAGCGGGCCATTAGCCCATTACGCTACGTCGTTATCATCAGCTGGAGGGACCTCTCCTAATCTGTTCTTCACCGGCCGATTCAATTGATTTCAGCCATCAATCAGCTCAAGATATATTCTTGACGAATAAATCCAAGATAGAAGTATTGAAGGTGACAGCGATCAGTTAGCAGGAGTAGTTGTTGGTCTTGATCGCTAATCCTGTCCTCTGGTACATTGTTTGGAACGCGCATAAATTTTATAAGATTATTAGTTTGTTATCCGTATGAACCGGTAATAATTCTAAGTTTAAGAGAGTAAGAATTCTAAATTCAGTTGAAACAAAAATACTTTAATGTATTCTCACAAAAAAATACTTAAATGTAATATACATGACGTATTTCCTTTGTTACGAAATATGGCAAAACCCCTCCTTGCATCTAAATAAATTTATGACGGTACGATTGGAACATTTATATTGCAACATTAATATGTTTTCGTATTCTCACTAGCAAAGTTGCCCACACGATATATTTTCATGATTTGCTTTCACAAGTGCCCCCTTATTCTTTTTTTAGGCATTATACGAATTCCACACTTAAAAAAATCCACGCATCAAACAGGAGATATAAATTCTCTCTTCAACTCTCCTTCTATTTCCCTCTACAAACCGAACAAAAAGGATCGGAACTAGAAGTCAAATTACCACCTTAATTCCATCCGTCAACTCACGCCACTAATTCACATGCCCCTTTCTATGCAATTGCCGAACACATCGCCAATGTACACGATGTTAGTGTTTCAACACTTCGATTGGAGGCATCCGTGACTCTGCAAGCTACCCTAACACCATCCGGGGATACCAATCTTTGACGATTTGGATACTGAGGCTAGTGCGACTATACACATGTCATGCGAGCCTCTCAGTCAATACGCCGACCCACCCACCACACATTTTCCCTTTTTCAGTGCACGGTTTGGTCCCTTGCTTCCTTCCAAAGCATCGTTATGCTGACCATGAATTATTATAGTCCTGATCATGCTTCCAAATGTAACAATTATTAAACAGGTGGAAGAGGCAATCGATAAAACTTCTCCAGGGTTTTAAATGTTATCGAGGCTCGGATATTAGCAGACACGTCGAAAAAGTATTCAAAAGATGATAATACTGGCGCTACCTGCAAAACGAACATTTCAGTATTACGATAATTTCTTCGCATGCGATCAACAATACGATTTCACTCAGTCTGCGAATGCTAATCTCATCGCCGACAGTTAACAATCGACGCTATAGAGTAAGCAGCAAGAAAACATGCTCCCAATCAACGTGTAAACAAAAAACTAATACTTTGACGTTAACGCACGATCAGACTGCCGCAACCACCATTTTCCGTTTGACTTAGAGGTATATATGCTCTAGATTGATATGATATAGGACTGGAGAAACACAGGACAAACCCGTATCATTTTTAATCAGGTTTGGCATAACTAATCAAACCTCAAATTCTTAGCTTTTTTTTTTTTATGATGAAGTGCTACTATCATCGCTGACGCACCCAAAACGTGTTCCATTTCACATTGCCAACACAAATGACAAATAGACTATGAGGTTAAGGTAAGATGAGCAGGCTGGCTTTACCACTTCCATACGATTTTGTGGAAGCTGGATAGATTCAGAACTACACGCTGAAATGATGTTTTCGTTTTCTAAAAATTCGTCAAGCAACCACTCATCAGACTATTTGTCCGGTCCTTTGCTATAATGTTTAGCTTAAAAAGGCTCGAAAGGGAAAGAGCTTAGGATAATTCTTTGGTTTAGAGGTACCAGCTGAACTCACAGCATTTCATCCAAACTTGTCCAATACAGAAATCAAAACATTACCAAGAAAACACCAAAATCATAAGAGCCAATTCTAGGTGTCTCTCGAAGCAAACAAGGCCTACTACTGCCTGATCTCAGCCTTCCTCTTCTGCCACAGCCTGTCCAATGAGCTGTCAGCATCACCCTGTCAAAACAAAATGTGAAATCAGAACCCAGCAATATAGACTACTCATGTATGTAGTCCAGTTTTTCGCTTTGTCCTGACTTCTCTAACATTGACTAAGTAGAAAAATATTGTAACATCTAAAATACCAAAGGACCGGGCAAACAAGGCATATTTCATGGTGAATTTAATGAAACTAATTTGATGTTGTACATGTGCATGTTTCCATAAACTTGGTCAAGGAAATGAAATTTGTCATAGGACAAAGTTAAAAAGACCTAGATTCTGCAGCAAAGGGAGTAGGAACTGAAATAGAGTGCTTCCACATCACACCAACAGGACAGAAGAAATCAGCAAAGCCAAAATGCTTGGTACATTATAGTATTCAGTTTAAACTTTAATTATCTAGGATGATATCCAGCAGCTGCTGTGCTAAAATTGGCAGATAAAGCAACAAAGGCAAGGCCAAATGGCCTCATCAGGGTTCATGGATAGAATCTTGACTGATAAAGTATCATATGACTTCATTGCATATTCCGGAGTTTAGTATTTCCTACCATGGCAGCCCAGTCACTTGATTTATGGGCACAGTAAAATCAAACAGGTAACTCATGATGTAACTAAAGAGGTGAAATTGATGTTGATCGTTTCCTATATTGATGTATGGTATATTGGCATGCAAGTCCACTGTACCCAACAATACACATGCAATTGAAAGCTGCATATGGATAGCCAGACAGAAACAAGGTTAATTACCTGAGCACGGACAAACCCAGAGAGAGCAAACGTGGTGAAATTGCCAACATACACACCATTCTCATCCAAGTGCCCAATGTTGATCTGCACAGAGGCATGGTCCTTGGCAGTGATGATCCTGTTCGTGGCAGAACTGTAGGAACAAAAAGAAAAACACAGGTCAGCACGACCAATAGTGCGATAACAACGATGCAGTCAAACAAGAGAACTGAAGCAAAACTTACCACTTCCTGGGGACGTAGAGGTCCACCATCTTACCCTCCTCGTTCTGCATGGTGACAACTGGGAGGAACCACCATAACAGCAAACAATCAGGCATTGCAACTTCCATATGTAAGGATAGAAGTAATTCAGGACAAAAAGAGAAGAGTAATTAAGAAGGCTAAACTACTGCCAAATGGCTCCCTTCATCAATATATCACAAGGCATTACGATCTACTGCCTCTGGTGACAAGATACAAGTAAGGCTGCTCACTTAGCAATTCAGAATCGCTGTAGTTTCGCAAGGTAGTGCTCCATAGTTACCACTTACAGACTTACCACTTCACTTGAGGAGGATTGAGATGAAGCACAGAGAATTCTTTCCCCCTCTTTTTGCAAATGACGATTATTTTCTCCTCTTATATTTGATGACGGGTAATAACAACTCGTATGTTTGTGGCCCACATGATATGCTCTTTGTTTTATATACTAAGAAGTTTGCTAGTTTGACGACGACTTGATAACATAGTCACAGTAAGACATCCACTAGCCAGTGCTATGATAAGTTGATCAATACGCAATGCCGACGGCAAAATTTATAAAAGAAACAAATGTGCGCGTAGCATTGATATATAATACGTTACGATCTAATGCCTTACTACGTGCGTGGCTAATTGGCTTCACCAAAAACATGCTTCATCCTACCGATTTGGTTCACAAAAGTTCAGAGTTCAAAGCGACTACTCGGAAACTACCAAGTGGAGATCCTAGAGCGAACCAGCATCGCATAGCGATTAGCCGTGCGGGCGCATGCGAACTGGATCAAAAGAGAACGTGAGTACGAAAATCTTTGGTGATACTACTCACCTTCAAGATCTCTTCGTCGACCAGCGGCGGCGGAGGGCGACGCAGGAGAACGAAGACAGCTGCGGCGGCGCCGTGACGGTTCACGAGAGGTGGATAAGGAGAGGGCGAGGCCGACCAGGCTCGTATAAACCCTAGCGTTCGGTTCTGGGGCCACCCACAGCCCAGCACTCGGGCCCCTTTCGATGGGATGGGATCATGGGAGCCCAAAGCCCATTTGGATGCTACAGGTCACAGGGCTTTCTCTCTCTCTCTCTCTCTTGATCATCGCACAGGGCTCTCTTGGCAAACTCGCTCCAATAAATTTTTGAGCCAGTCATCATTAGCTCTTGAAATTCACGCATTGAGGCTACCTGGTTGAGTCCTAATTTTAATATTTTATTATTTTACTGTTTTATTATTGATTTATATACTTTCTCCGTCCTAAATTAAATCAAACTTTTAAATTTAGTCATACGTCAAGCTATTTTAAATTTAACTAATTTTATAGAAAAGAATAACTATATCTATGATACCAAATTAGTATTACAAATACATCATTAAATATATTTTCGTAATATACAAATATTTGGTGTCATGGGTGTTTTTTTTTATCGGGTATAACTTGGACGCACAAACTCACACACTCCACACTCACACAACACGCACAGAAGAGATTAGGAGGCTCTCTGACCTCTGGTGGTGCGGGAGACGCGCAGTACCACCGAACACGCACGCGTGCGTGTACCCTAAATGTTTCTAAAAAAATTAGAAAAAGGTGCGACACCAGTATTTGAACCCTGGTGGGCAGTGTCCCACTAGATAGCCTTACCACTGGACCATAGATAAAGTTTGGGTCTGTTTAGTTCCCCCAATTTCCAGAATTTGGCACTATGCAAAAAGAAGATTCCCCGTCACATCAAACTTGTGGTATATGCATGTAGTACTAAATGTTGACGAAATCAAAAACTAATTGCACAGTTTGGTTGTACTTTACGAGACGAACGTTTTGAGCCTAATTAGTCAACGTTTGGACAATTATTACCAAATACAAACGAAACGCTACAGTAGCTACTGTGGCTACAGTAACTTTGACGGCGCCGATTCCGCGCCGAACTAAATGTGGCCTTTGTCAAATTTAAGATAATTTAATTCAGAATGATTCTAGAAATTGATTTATTTCAAGACGGACATAGTATTAGGACAAACACGACATACAGTTCTTTGTGGTATGTTACTATGTCAAGTTGGATTCCCAACGAACAATCCACCGAGGTCACATATTCCTACACCGGATCATACAAAACACGTTAGTAAGCTGGCCAACAAGTCACCCACTGGATAATTTTACTAGTTAAGTCCCTGAGATGCATCGCTGGACAATTCGCCAGAGATCAACCCTATCGTCCCGTACATGCTATGGTCTGAATTTTTACTTGTTTCAAGTCCGATCTCGATCAATTAACACCTTTGAAATCCATGACTTCAAACCAATTCAAAGGAGCCATTCGCACCATCAACTCGACTTATATTTAGTCACTTCATGTATCTTCATGCTCTCACCTTTGACTCTCTTAAGTTGAATGACTTTGACCCTCTCAAGAGCATCTCCAAGATCCGTTCTTAAAATGACTCTATAAGTTATTATTTCGAGAGACATTTGAATAAAAATCGTTGTCTATATCTTTTCATCCTCTAACAATTTCTCCACATCTTATGCACACTTTAAAGAGCCAGCTCCGCTCATCTTTGGCTGCCGAAAAGTCTAGAATAAAGATGGCTATATCTGAACATCTATTAAAGAAGCTATTGGAGGATATTTTTTTTACCAAAATCTGTATTCTCATCAATTAGTAAGGATATAAAGAGACTCTTATAATCACTCTATTAGTACAACCAAAGAAAAACAAAGTCTTGTTACACACTAACAAGGGAATGTAGCTAAAACACAACCTACCTTCGTGTCTCTCTTACGCCATACACACCGAACCTTGAGGCCAAGGTCATGTGGCCATTCTCGTTGTGGCTAACTCATTTGCAATTAACTCCCACAGAGCACACGTTAGGTGTTCTGTCAACCACAGAACCTTAAGGGCACGTACAACGCGCCGTCGAGTGCAGTCTGTATCTTGTAGTTTTTGTAAAAAACACCCTCCTATGATGGGGAGACGGTGCCGCCGTCGCCTCGCGAGACGACGACGAGGGCTCGTGCTCCAAGACCCAATCGCCAGCTAGAGGACTGTTGTACAGAGTCGTCGTCTCGAGTCGACCGTGTGGATCCTGCTGCGGGGCGCGCTAGGATCCAGGTTTCGACGAGCGCGAGGTGGATGCTGCGCACCAAAAATCCGTCTCCATATCTCTACGACTCTACCCGGTCAGCGGCAACAGAGACGGCGATGGCGGCCGACACCCTTGGTCGCGGAAGCAGCTCGGCAGCGGGAGCAGCGATGGCGGCGTGCCCCGTTGTTTGCGGTATGGGCGCAGCGGCAGCACCCATCAGGCCATCACCGCCGGTCAAGGCAACGGCGGCCTCCTACATGACGCGGTTGACGAGATGTCGATGTCTCCCTCGCCTTACGCCGCCGTCAAGAGAGAAATCAACGTCGAGGAGCCCACGCTCACACGCCGGCGCTCCGGCGGCACAACGCACCTCAGCGGCAACCGAAGGCACGACTCCTTCAAGGAGACCTACAGAATGTCGTTCGTGCCTTCCTGGTAAGCAACAATGCCTGAAAAAATTCCGATTTCTTTGTTTGGCTTAGCTGGCGTTTCTGATGTAAACAAGGTGCTCGATGAAATGTGGCCATGGAGATCCATCGGCGTGCCGAGGACAACAAGCAACACAATGGTAGACATAAAAAAAAATTATCCTCATGCAGGCATTAAAGAATCAACAGACAAACAAACAAATAACCCATTATATGCGTCGTCTGTATAGCCGTCTGTATGTGGTATGGCATCATCATACAGACAGCTCGCTGTCTCTGGGTTGTACATGCCCTAATAACTCCACAATAAGGCATGGGTTCCCTGTTAACTCCACAATGAAGGCATAAATGTGTTCAATTTGTAATGGGATCAGCCTCTGCACATTAAAACCTCTCTACCACCATTCCGATAAACTTCCAAATTATCATATTCAAAAACCTCTACTACCATTCCGAGAAACTTCCAAATTGTCATATGAAGAGCCATTTGAATTTCCAAATTATCATATGAAGAGCCATTTGAATGAAGCTGTCGGCCGAGACCACATCTTGTTCCTGTGGAATCTTGTGACATTCCTGCATTCCGAAGGGATCTTTAATGCAAGCCGGCTGGCTGTCAGGGTTCAGGCTAGAGGTGCCACAATCCTATGAAGTTCATATCCTACAACACTGCTCTATAAGTCAAACGGATTGTATTCACGAATTAAAATGGAACCTCTACAAGTTTCAGTGCGCCTAAACATACTCGATCATAGGCAAAATTAGTGATATTTACTAAATCTAGAATGTTGGGTAGCAGCAAGGGAGGCAGCCGGAGCTATCCAGCAATGATTTACAGATTTACATGGACCGCAGTCTCCGCCTTTTTTTCCCCAAATTTTCAGAAAGAATCGGCTCTATTAGCACCATGGATCGAACGGGACCAACCAGTGGTCACTGAGTCACTTGCTCCTCTGTTAATGTTACTTGTACGAACTAAGCTCGGACAAAGGAGTTTCGGGCTTTCGGCAGCTGTGATAATTGACAGCGGCTCTGGTCTGAAATCTCCAGGAGTCTGGTCCTGATATGGTTACCTCTCAGCATCCAAATGACGGTTAGCTGGTTCTTGTAAGCGTTGATTTCAGGCACCGTGAGTCAAAAGAGGCTGATATTTGGTGTAATCTATCCCATTCAACCTAACACAACATAAGATCTGTTCCGGCAGCTCTTCAGCTTTATTTCCCTGCAGTTAGAAGCGAGCACAGTAAGTGACCTGACCTACTTTTTCTCGAACAATTTTCTGGGAAAGTACAATCTTGCATAGTAATGAAATTATTGTTTACAATTGGGATACCTGAATAGTCAGCCCAACATCTAGAACGCATGCTTTTAGCCTGTCCAAAAACGTTTCAAAACCTTTCCTTGATATGTAGCTAAATCTGTGCATGTCAATGTCGATCTCAAAGTAGTTATCACCCTGCACAGAAGCAAGGATGTTTCAATAATCCCTCAAACAGTAATCAAAGTTCAAAGTATGTCTAGAACAAGATATTTCTATTATTGCATTTATTTATGAGATGGTGGGCTCAATAATGTAGATGAATACCACATAACTACAACAATTTCTAGAAATAAACACAACTAACCAGGTAAAATTCATGCTGTGGTCTAGAAAGGACAGGCTTCTCGTTATACGCATGCATTAACTTCCTCTCCGCTGCACTCAAAGGAAGATCCTCCAGATTAGCCACCCGGCCAAGTATCTTCAGCCGCTCTCGGAATGGTATAGTGGTTTCCATTGGAAATCCTTTTATCTTCTCTACATGATCATCAACCAGCCTCTGTTGGGGATGAAAAGAAGTATTATTGACTGATAATAAATAGAACTGAAATATAACTACCTTTCTACTCCATATCTATGGGAATTGCCAAAGCTGACAATTAACGTTATCATCAATCACATAACCATATAAATTAACTTGACAATATAAAAGAACCAGTCTACATATCCTAAACCGATTTCAATAACTGAAACTGCATTTTTACATGCAAAAAATGCCTCATCTTTTCTCTTGTGAAACAGTCAATGCTACAGAAGTGTTATGCATCATTTCTTTGATCAACTATATGCCTAAGGAGTTCAATCTTAGGAGGCTAGGACTCTTTACTTCAAAGAATTGCAGGAGCCCAAAGGGGACTTCAGCTGCAGTCCACCCTAAAGTTACGACCCTGAAAATGTATGTCTCTGAACTAATAGTTCAGAGCTCAGATGCAGGGGAAAAGTTCAAGATTCTACATAACCTATAACAAATCAATCATCGAACCCTGCAATAAATATTCTCCACTATGGTTAAGCATCACCTGCATGAATTGATATAAAGTCTATATATGGACTACTATTATTTATTTCATCTAGCTAGACATTTTTTGTTCCAAGGCTTTCACTGCTTCCAAAATAAAAAGAAAAACGATTCAAATACTCATTGACTAAAAGTACATACCTGTGTATATATATATATATATATATATATATATATATATATATATATATATATATATATATATATATATATATATATATATATATATATATAAATAGTAACAGATATTACTGAAAAAATATATTAAAGACCGGTGAAGCTCTTACTCTAATACTTTCAATGAATGAAGGTGGAAGCTCTTTCGAGTAACCATCAGAAAGCCTAAAGTACAAAACAAAGCTTATCCCTTCCCCATCAGTTTCATTCTGAAATAATGAAGCTGGATATAATGGGACCTGAGAAAAGTATACAAAATATCAATACACTAACTGAATAATGGCAAGAGCATAAAACTCACAGAAAAATACTGAAATCCATGTTACAGTAACTATTTCTTAAAACAAACATTGCTATGGTGGCACACTGTTGAGGCTTACTTCAGGCAGGCAAACATAAATAACATGCTACACAGAGCTCACCGATTGCTTCAGTCCAGCCCTTTGTACTAGTTCACTAAGATGAACTTATTTGGAAATAAAAATAGGCATCGACTACAGCAAGTACACATCTGAATATGTTTAAAGCAAGTTGACATGTTCACTTCACCACTAAGGCACTAAGTGACAAGTGTCTGCAAGTGTAACAATTGGACAAATTGAGCACCAATGAGAAAAAAAAGGAGTGGCATGAACAAACAGACAAATGCTCCATATCTTTGACGAGTTAGAAAGTCTATGAACAAAAGGGCTGTATACCAAACTTTCACCATGAAACAGTGCTTTGTCCTTGGTGTACTTATGACTTACCTGTACATTGACCACCAAAAGAGGTGGGAGCTTGCTGGAGAGTTGAATATCAGGAAGTTGGACAAATCGAGATATATGATTGAGTTTTTGTGGTGATAAGTACACATCAACTCCAAATGGATAATATGCAGCATAATTTAGAGCAAGCTCTTTCTTCTTATCCCTGGAGAAGTGCATTAGAAACTTAGATCACTCCCATAAAAGCATCCATGAGTTTCAAATAAATTGGTGATGGATATGAACTGATACTGCAAGAACGATATTTACCTAAAATAGTTTGCTCCACGGACTCGGAATGTACCAGGATCAATATGAGACCAACTGTTGAGCATATTTGTTTCCAGCAAGCACAACTGTACTTGAGAACCTGCTAGAGGCCTTTCCAGAAAATCCTTCGCAGATACTGAAACAAAATAAAGTATATACTGATAATAAAGGAAAAATGAAAAAAAATGAATACTGATAATATTTTGGAGCTAAAAAACTTAACATGTTAACCTTGACAGATGGTATAAAATTTAATGCAGCTAAAAAACTTACAGCAAATCAAGTTACTAGTGCATTACGGTAAATCTTGTAACAGAGATTAGCTAGAACTATTTTGTTATATATTTTGGAAATTATTTCACAGACAAAAGCGGTACTCAGGTAGTGACAGAAAATAAAAAGTATATCTAAGTGCCATAAAAGGCATCTGCACTGTGAGTAGTACCACCAGTAAAATCAAGTGCTATTCTCACAAAGCTGTAAAGACCTCATCTTATTCAGATAGAGTGTACAGCTTAGTTTTAGTAACTTTTAAGACATCTCCCTCTCCCATACATTCGTGTTATGTTTCTCCAGACCTCTGCAGAATCTTAACTTTCCAGAGTGTACCAATGCAACAGTTTTATCAATACAATGCTACTTCGTACCATTAAATGAAAGATTATTGACATGTGTCACTACTCGAAAGCATCAGTTCTCTGTGCCACCTTTTGCCTTTTTCTTTGTTGCTTAATGAACTATACCATATGGACACCAATAGTCCTTTGTCATAAAAGAGAGCAAGCAAGTTGCTGGCAAGGTTTCAACTCATCAAACAGAGAATTATGGAAAGTATAAATGTTTGGGAAAATCGGTACAAACTGCAGTTCAGCTTTTGAGAAGGGCGTCTTAACTCTTATTAACTCTTAGCCAAATGACTTAAGAAGAAATGCTTACGTAGTGTGGAAGATGGATGAGCTTCCCCTGATTTCTTCTTGAAGGAAAGCTTCAAAGAAGGCATCTTCATTGAATGTGTAGGACTCGAGGAAAGAGTTCTCTTCTTCTCGTTTACCCCAACAGCAGAGGCAATGCATGGGAGACAATTATTTGGCAGAAGCCCGCAATCGTCCAGTATCCTACCTCCACCGTGCGTGCTATCAGCACCAGAAACACCCACCTCATCATCATGGCTCATGGACGTCCTCACACCATTCTCCGAGCTTCCCTTTGACAGTTCGCTGGACTTTGGCTTCTTATGGTGCTGCTCGCCTGATTGCGCAGCTCCATTGAAGCTCCAACCGTTGCCGTCCCTCATGCTCAATGCAGCTTCGTTCTCGAAGCCATTCAATGACAAAGCATCTGCACGACAAACAAAGAAGCTCCATCAGTCAAACGGAAAGGCATGTTAAAAATGGGGGCGAAAATTCAGCAGGTTCAACTAATCATTGGAAATTATGCTGTGCGGGGGACCTAGCTACAAGGCTACTACGACATCACTCTTACCATCTTGCACGCTATGGAAATCGTCTTCGGCGTCCGACTCGCTCATCGCCAAGGAATCGTACCATGCCTCCTCAATGCTCCCAGACACTGCAGCACGAGATGCCCCCGAAATCACGTCAGGTCATATTGGAGTATCGAGTACGAATTGACGCAACGAACTGCGATGCGTACTGCCCCAGATACTAGCTGCAGCCCCACTCTACAGAACAGGGTCGCAAAAGCCTCCGGAGCTACGAATTAAAAAAGTGAGTAGCTATTGCTGGATATACACGATCCCCAGATGCAGGTCCCCCGGAGATCAGAATCCAGACCCCGAAACAGGCAGCGGGCGGAAGGCGCACGGGGGGAGAGAGAGAGAGAGGAGAAAGCAGCCCGTCGGTTCACCCACCGACCCACCTTGGAACGCGGGGTTGCTGTACGTCCGGTGATCAGCGGCGGCGGCGGCGGCGGACGGCGAGCCGGGAACGTCGGCCTCCTGGATGGTCTCCATGGACGCGGCGCGCGACGGCGCCGTCCTCCGCCCCTTCCCTACGCGGCGGCTGCGCCTCCGCCGCGCCCCGCCCCCGCCGCCTGAGCAGCCGCTGGCATCGCCGGACCGCGGCGTGTGGGGCTTGCCCACGCACGCGCTGGGCCGCGA